ATGTCGGACAATGCCGGCGGCGTGCTGGACGACAAGCTCGACTGCGCGGTGGTGCTCATCGCATCTGCGTGTGTCGGTGTTGACTCGTCCTTGATCTCCATCTGTTGCCGAGTCGGGCCAAAGGCCTGGCCACGACTGCCTGATGAGTCGTTCTGCCCGCGAAACTTGCTCTTGGGACAAACTGCGTTTGGCGATGGCAGCACTGAAGCAAGCGCAACTTTGGAATTTGCCAGCGTTGCATCTGGGCTGAGCAGTTGCGCACACTGCTTTGGGTCGGCCAATATCTTCTTGACAGCGAAGTTGAAAACACTGTACCAGATCGTGCTCCAGGAGTCTTCCGCCGGAGTGCTGATCGTATCGCGTTGCTTCAAGTTGAGCAGTGTTTCAATCTCCATAATGTAGTTCGTCCCGTGCTCACAAAGGTACTGGATCACCAAGCGCAAGCATTTGGCACCTGTAGCCGCGAGATCTTCGAACGTGATCAGGTTCTTCTTGGCCTTGGCGTGGGTGTCATCTCCTTCACCATTGCCATTCGAGGTTGCGCCCGGGGCCGGCACCTCCATCATAGACAGCATCATGACAAGCATGTAACGGACCTTGGCGCAAACAAGGGCCTCAACAGCCTGCTCGTTGAGTGATGATGACGCCTGGGACTTCGTCGTCTTGGCCGCTGGAGTCACCGGAGTCGTCGGAATGTCAAGCGTCTCTGGCAGGCTACCTTTGTTCTCATGCATGGTCTCGGCGGTGTTCTCAACCTTTGCATGTACTGCGCCTGCGGCATCTGCAGCGACTGCCAGCACGTGCTCTGGAACTGGTTCTGCCACCACCGCCTCATGAACTTTGAGCAGAAATGCAGCTTCCCTGGGCAACGAATCCAAAACAGATTCTTCCTTGACATCTTTGGCCTTTGGTCGTCGTGGGCTTTTGCCAGTCTGTGGTGAGAATTGCGAGGCATCATGCCCCCGACGTTGCGGCGTTGTTGTCGTAGCAGCCAGCACCACAGCCGCCGTACCCACGAGAGACGCTTGGGCGGGCACAGTGTCGTCTGTTTCCAGCGCCTGTGCAATGCTGGACACGAAATCCGGCAGAGCACGCACGTCATTGTGGTACTGGCATCGTGTGGCTGATGCGTCCCACGTATCAGTGCCAGTACGACAGCTGCAGAACGATGACTTGAACTGGGCTATGGCCTTCCGCAGTGACTGATGCATGTACACGTTCGACGAATTGTTCTTGCGAAGAAACTCATTCGCAATGTGCAGCGAATCCTTGCTGGCCAGAATGTCCCGGGCAAGTGTTTCTGCGGACACGTGTCCGAACGTAGACGACGACTCCGGAACACCATCCTGCCATTGTGATTGCCTTGACAGCTGTTGGAGCACTGCGTCCATTCTCATGCCCTCCGTAATACCAGACTGCGATGTCTTTGCCGCGAAGACGTTCTTGAGATGAGCCTGCAGGACAGGCCGCAACTTTGACCATAGTGCAAAGGTTTTGCGATTGATGGTGACCTTGCAGTTCAGAGCGAACTCAAGCCCAAGACTGAGGCACTGTGAAAGCGCTTCACTGGCGTCCTTGAGCTGCTTGTTGTCGCTTTGCCGACAAATGTCGACTTGCTTCAGTGGCCCGTCTGGCAAACATCGTGCCAGACAACCCATCAAGTCGTCCAGCCACAATCGTGCACGTGTCATACCGTCTCCACCAAAGTCGTCGTCGTCCATCTCGATGTCGTCCTGCAATGTTGCTGCCTCACCATCTGCAAGAGGCCCGGCTGCAGCTTTGGCCTTTGCTTTCGACTTGGCTTTTGCCTTTGATTTTCCCTTGGCTTTTGCCTTCGGTGCCTTTGCTGGCTTCTCAGTTGCAGCCAAGTCAGGAACACGGGGGCGTTTCGTTCCGCTTGATGCCCCGACACCGTCAGATGCATGTGACGCCGCTCTTGCCGCGTCGGCAATGGCTTGGCTTTGAAGCAACTTCTCCACAAATATGGCACCGTAGACAGAGCAACACAACTTCTCTTCCACAAGCTTCATCAACGAGCTTTGCGGCCCAAAGCCTCTGCAGCACACGATGGCATGTAATCATGTTATTCATAAAACAACATGAAAGTATGAACCCCTGGATCGGCCACGCAGCTCACAATGTATGGAGGACGATGTTGTTGTTGCGTCGCCTGCACAGCCTGGCTCGAGGCTGACCCGTGCGTAGCGAGGGGCGCTCCGTCAGTCGTGCTGGTCGGATCCAGCAGTGGAACCTCAGGCGGGGCACCGGCCCTGGCACTATGACGTTGATTGTTTGATCAGGCCGCACACCGCCTCACCCTTACACTTACACCTTACAGCCTCACACCCAATGCACGCACTCAACAGTTGCGGCCAAAGCACACACAGTTTGCACAGTTCCAACAGGCAGTGACCCAGCAGCCACGCAGGTTGTCCCTTGAAGTGCGAATCCATGATGGTTGCGAAGGAATTCATCGATCCCACAACTGACTCGTGGCTTTTCAGATCCGAATGCAAGAAATCTGTTTCTTCAGCAAAGAAGCGGTCCCACTCAGCGAAAATGCCAAAGCTCACCAACTTGCGCCGCAATGCTTTGGAATTTTTGAATCCCAGCACACTGTATTTCTCCTGCGATCCGCAGCAAGCAAGACATGACTCGCACTGGACCCATGCTACTTACTGAGCCTAGCCACACCTCATCACATCAAAGCAATCCTTGTACTCGGACGAGTCAAGCCAGCTTGCGAACACGTCGTGGTACGAGTTCACAGACCTACTGGTAATCAGATTGCGATCGCAATAGGCACGCCACGCCTGCAAGGTTGTTCAGCATGAGCACGAGACAATGACAACAACAAACTCACATTGCAATCAACTCATCAATGCAACAAGTTGCACCTTGTCGACATCTTCGACACCTGTGACTAGCTCATGAAAGCTGATGCCCCCGCCGTGGTGAAAGTTGTTGTGAGTATCCTTGAGATACCTCGATTGCGGCGCGTAAAGTAAGCATTGCTGTCAGACTTCCAAAATGAATAGCTGTCGTCTGTCTGCAAAAATAATACAGCCTAGCAACGTCACCACGTCTCCAGGGGTTCGTGCGTGAAGCACACGGCACCCTTGCAAGCCTGCTTGAAGTGTGCTTTTCACTTGAGGGTTATCCGGAGCCTGCTCGTAGGCCGAGTAGAATGCCTCTGACCTAAGAGGCGAGTAGATTCTCATCACATTTGTTGCTGCTCTAGTCTAGCAACTGTGCTCCCACACGGTGCCCGCTGCCCCATGAATGTAGCAAGCAGTAAGCAGTAAGCAGTGAGTGATCAGTGACAAGGCTGTAAAACTGTAAGGCTGTGGCAGCGTTCCGTAAGTCACCGCCAGATAAGGACCGTTCGGCTTTTCCGGCCTGAAGTCCGGCACAAACTACTCTGTGACTCTGTGCAACTGTAGTCTGTCTCACAGACTTATAAATCATAGCCGCGTAGCCTGAATTAATTAGACTTTGCTACTCAGCCGGGGGTCGCCAAAAGCCAAGGTTCACCACGGCAGCCTTCAAGTATGCCGTGTTGCAGGACACCACGAGTGTAGCGTAGGCGAATTGATAGTTGTTTCCTCGCGTTCAGGGGATGACGGATGATTCCTTTGTTGCCGTCCGGCAGAAACCACGGGACCGTCGTTGTGGCGTTCTGGTCCACCTGCAAGATGGCAACTTGGAACTGACGACAACGCGACGACAATTCGACTGACTGACTGACATGATTGTGATCGTGCCTGGTAAGTCTGAAAAACAGCATCCTGCAAAGGTCTGCCACTCAGACGCCCGAAACGCTCGGCCAATGAGCGTTGGCCGTAGATTGTGTCTGATGCTTCCCGCAACGCCACAGAGCCAATAACACCAGCTGCTGCTGATCCTGCTGATCCGGTGGTTGCCATTGGCACAGGTGCTGCCATAGCAACAGGCTGCTAGTCCCAGCACAGCCCTTGTTGATGCAACAATCACAGCAATCAGCAGTCACCTTGCCCGACTGGCGACACACACGCAACAGAGCCTAATTACACACGAGCCAAAGCAGCAGTCAGTCAATCACAAGCTCAGCACGTTGCAAAGAGATTTAGTCAGAGTCATGTTCGTGTTGAATCGTGGCAGGAGATACACTCATACAAGCACAAGCACAAGCATAAATATCAGTTCAGTTCAACTGATTCAACCGCTGAATCGCGCGGTGCATGCTGATCGACTCACGGACTGACCAACAACACTTTCCGGCACTTCCGACCAAGGCTTTTCTCGGCCTTTGCGGATCTGTACAACTGTGCGATTTACAGACAAACTAAACTACCTGATCATGATTTGAATCATTGAGTTGAGTCATCATCGAATCGGGCCACTGAACCACTAGAATAGCCGCGCTGCCAAAATCCTTGCCAAACTGTCGAAATTTCGACTCGTGTGCGCGGCGCCAGGCGGTGCCTCTCACGTACAAGCATAACTAACACAAGTCCGAGCTAGTTAGCTCAAGTTAAATGATACAAATGTTAATGTTCAATGCTAAACCGACTAACTCTGACTCTTCTTTCTTACGGGCCTTCTTCTGCACACAGCCAATGGCGTACAGCATTGCTAGCCCCACCGCCACGCTGTGCATGCCATTGCCGGCCTGGTAATCGGTCGAGTCATGTTCGTCTCACAATCATGCTGCCACAAGGTGTCGCCGGCTCACGAAACTCACAGAACGTGCCTGTTGCATTTGTGCCGAACGTGAGCGTGTTGGAGCTGAGCTCGCATCGCACGTGAAGCTGCAAGCCGCCACACCAAACGACATTGTCTTGTCAATTGGGAATCCTTGGCTCATCAGCGCCTCTGTGGAAAGAAGCCAGCGGCCATGCGCGTCGGACCTCGCACCAAACCATGCTGCACAGAACACAAGTTAACACAACACAACACATCACGTGTGGTAACATTAACATACACACATACATATGTAAACATTGTAAACACTCAGATGCCTACCACAGAATACCAGCATTGCGGATCAGCGTGTGAAGTTTCGACCATCCGCTCATGGTAGCACTGAAGTTGGGATTTTGATTCAATGAATATGCACCGCCAGTCTTCCGTGTTCGGTACTCTGCCAGGAAATTGAACTCGACTGTCGTCAACGCACGCTCAAATGCCTTGCGAACAAGTTCAACATCATTCACGAGTGCATGCTTGAAGGCTTCCAGGCTGGCGATACCGCACCCATCTACTTTTGCTCGGCTTTCAGGTCGAGAGCATGCCCACATCAATTCTTCCCAAATGTCCTGGAAAACAAAAGCAATCAAATCAGGCATCATGATATGTTATCAGGTCAGATATGGTCCTCGGCAGGAGAACCAAAGTATGAATCCCAAGCAGGCTCCATCGCAGCCAGCTCCTGACAATACTGCAAGTGAGCATCCGAACACAGTCAATGTGAGTGTACAAATCAGTAACCCTGGCACACCCTGGCAATCCTGGTTGTACTCGCCAAACCTCACAGGCGCCCTGAACATCTCCACGAACACGTTGACTGGCGCAAGTGCAGCACCAGTCTTCCACTTATGGCGTAGAATGCAGTACTGTCTTGGTCTCGTTATAGGCATGCCATACATGTTGGGGTCAATCAGCGCCACGGATACAAAGTATATCGCTCCCAAGAAATGCTCCGAGGTTGATGCGTCGAAATTAATGACGTTCTCCTGGATTATCAGGGATTCCTGATAATCCCATCGTCGAGAAATCCAGCTGAGGAAGGCTTTCCACGTGACCCCCTGCTCGCGCATCATCAAACCTCGCTGACTGTAATCCGTGCATGGTGTCCCTGCAACATGTAAATCAGCTGCACGATCGACCTCACACATCTGCCCGTGCTTGTAGCACCATGCTTTTCTGATTGTTGCTTCGCCCCTGCGCATCAGCGGCAACAGTACTTCATTAATTGCCGTGTCGTTGGCTGCCAGGACATCCAGCTGTGCGGCAATATGGGGACGCCAGAAGTCATTCATATCCCCGAAGACATGCTGTGGACAATGTGGGTGACGAAGCAACTCTTCTCGGGCCTGCGCAGACCACTCAACCGCCGACATGTTGGCTGGCGCAGGGACATGAGATTTGTCCATGTTCAGCTCCGCGCAGATAGCTGTGCCCATCATGATGAAAGACGTAGCAGGAGTGTCAATGCCGGAAAATTCTGTAGACAGCGATGTTGCTCGCATGTCTTGTAGCAGTTGATACAAGTGCTCAGAATGGGCCGTGCGCTCCTGAGACACAGACTCACTGATGAACTGTACATCTGGGTCTGGGTCTGAGTCACATACATCCATCAAGTTGCAATCATGCTCACGACTCAGAGCTGCCATAGCTTGATCCACCACATGTTTGCAATTGCCTTGCTCGGCAACCGACCGACATATTCGCGCCACTCGCGCAGCATATGCCTTGTCACCATCAACGTCTTGCACCGGACACAGTCGAGCTGCAGCCACATTCCTGCACAACACATGCATGAGTGATAACACCACGACAATCGCACACATGAGCACTCCAACATGTCCAACATGGCAATGCATGCAGCAGCACGGGTCCTAGCAAAGCGAGCGAATGTTGTGACTGCCCAGACCGGCCACATCATCAGCCTAAACACGGAGGGCTTGTGGCCGTTGCTGTGTGCACACATGGGAGTCGCACTTGCCGAAGGCGTCGCCTCAGGAGACAACCCAACATTCATGCCTGGATTTGCTTGGAGGGTGGCATCGGCAGTTCCCGATACAGCCGTATCAGGATGCGAGTGTCCTGCTTGGAGTGTGGCTTCACATGTGGTCGTGTCCTGGCTGCCATGGCCGACGGTCGTTGCATGCACGGCATCCACGCTATCCGCTGCACCCACATCATCGTTTGTGGCGGCTATGCCCGCCTTTGCATCTTTCATCTCTGTCACAACATCTGAAGCGTTTGCTTCGTCCGACGTGGCCGGCGCCGTGGGGTTGCTTGCATCGTCCGTCTCAACCGCATCATTGGCAGTGGTTTTGCTCGCATCTTCAGTCTCCGCCGCCACACATTGCGCAGCGGCACTGCTCACATCTTTCATCGCCTCTACATCTTCCTTTGCTGTCACATCATGTGTGGTGGCTTTGCTTGTGGTTTCCTTGACCATGTCTTCCATTGCATCCACCACCACATCATGCGTGGTGGCTTTGCTCGCGTCTTTTGTCTCCACCAGATCATCCATGGTGGTTCCAGCACTTTGTGTCTGTGTCTCATCCACAAGTGTGGATGCAGAAGCGTTGTTCTGCGCTGGCACACTTGGAGGCGAAGGTGTGTTGAAAAGATGCTGTATTCCTGCTTTCGTCACCAAACCAAATTTCACGGTTGGTGGTGGCTCCTGCGCAGCTGACTTGCTACCTTTGCTCGGTGCTTTCGGCTGTGGTGGTGATGGAGATGCTTTCCGTTTGGCATCTATTCTGGCCGGCTGCTTGCTCTTTGGCGGCGGCGGTGGCGGGGCATGTGGCTGTTTTGCCTTCGGAGTTGGCGATGGCTTAGAGTCGGGCGCCGCCTTGGTACACGCAACACAGCAAGAGTATGTTACATAGCTGCAGAGCGAAATACATGACTTGCTTTTGACACTGACTTAAACAACATGTTGTCTCTGCATCCATAGTTGCAGCTGACGAGGCTTTCCCTCGCCGCTTTGGCGGGTTGCTCTTGGCAGCCGTGTGAGCGGGAGCGACCGGCTGCTTTCGTTTCCGAATCGGTGGTGACGACATCACAAACGCATGTGACAGCTCACTGACAGTACGGGGACGTGTATGCAAGTCGATGCAATGCATAATTGGGCGTTGCCATCTGGTATTATGTGTACACCTTACATATTGAGAAGCATGTTGAATGTGAGCACTGCAGCATCATGCATGCAACACAACCTGATCAGCATGCAAAGACGTGCATCCAGCAACAACGCAGAGGGCATCAAGTCACTCATGAAGGAGTCTACGCTCAAAGTGATCAAACATGACGGGCACACACAACACCGTGGAGATGATTGACCTGAGTCAAGCAGTGTTTGCCCGTGAACAGCCCCATATGTAGACAACAAATCCACATCTGCCAGTGAACGTCACATGTCTGCACACAACACGCATACATTGATATCACACAACTGTCAGGGCATTCAATGTCCACGCAAAGCTAGTGTTTGCGGTCATGCCATGTCCACACATCAGGTACGCGCTACATGTATCCGTGGACATGTCATGTCCACACCCATATACTCGTGGACACCCCATGTCCACACAGCCCGTGGTTGTGGACATTGAATGCCCACGAAACCCATGCAGGTGGACATTGCATGTCCACACCCCAGGTGTCCGTGGACATGCCATGTCCACACCCAGAAAGCCGTGGACATCACATGTCCACACAGCCCGTGCCCGTGGACATTGCATGTCCACAGAAGCCATGCCTGCGGACGTTGCATGTCCACACACCCCATGCCCGTGGACATTGGTGCACGTTAACAACCGTCGTCCGTGGACAACGTCGCGTGCCCACACAGCCCGTCCCGTGGACATTCCATGTCCGCGCCACCCATGCCCGCGGACATCCCAAGTCCGCACCACACCTACCCGTGGACATCCCAAGTCCGCACCACACCTACCCGTGGACATCCCATGACCACAGCCCCGTTGCCCGTGGACATCCCATGTCCACACCCCACCCTGCATGTGGACATTCCATGGCCACACCCCACTCTTCCCGCGGAGATCCAATGACCACACCCCACCATGCCCGTGGGCATCCCATGACCGCAAACTGTTCATGCAGGCATCCCGTGTCCACATCCCGCCTGCCTGTGGACATTCCACTACCACAAAGTAATTGCCCATTAACATCAAGTGTTCATACCAACCGGAAGCCCACCACAGATGTACATCAAACATGTCACACTAGGAATCCTCAGCAAGTGCATCAGCGATACTGGTGTGCCCCTAGCCCCTAAACCCTAACCCTAACACTAGACCCTACAGCCTGAACCCTAAACCCTACACCTTACACCCCCCAAACTTTACACCCTAAACACTAAGCCCTAAACCCTAAACCCCTACACCTTACACCCTGATCCCTAAGCCCTAAGCCCTACACCCTGCACCCTGCACCCTATGCCCCACACCCTAATAAACACTAACCCTAAACCCCAACCCTACCAACAATACACACTGGCTCAGGCTGATCAATCATGAATCATGTGATGCACTCTCAGCTGCCCACACGTGGAAGTCATCTGTCGAGCCTTGGTAGCACACGGATGCAACGCTATACAACAGTGCTTTGATTGTAGAGAGCCACTCATCGTATATGCTTATATGCGCCCACTGCTTGCACTACGTCTGTCTTTTCCCAGGTGCTCGAGATCCCTTGAGACTTCAGATCAAAACAAACTCCACACAGGTGACACGGCTGCTGCGTGCTGCTATGTGCTGATTCCTACCCTACCGC